TGTGATAGCAATACTTCTAACGGAAATGTCAATCGACGTTAACTATGGGATATTGTGTCTCGGATGGCCTGCAAATAATTATAATTAACCTTTTTTACGTCGAACTCCTGGCGACTGCGCCGAGAAGTTGGAGAAGAACCTATGCCGATGGCGGACACGCGCCGCACAGAACAACTAGCGATACCTACCGGAAGCATTGCAACTACGACGCACGCTACGTTCCAGATAACATTACGAGCTCATGAAAAGGCGTGATACACTGGGATAGATACCGACAGCATCGTATTTAGTCACTGTGTACGGTAAATCATGCTAAAGCGCTAAACTGATTAATTACGCCTTAATGGCCAGTACATGAAAACACAAAACTGATAAAACGTACATTACCGCGTGGTTTTCAATTTTTCCCGCAATTTCCAAATATGAGGCGATATTCAAATCAGCGCTTAAAAAGGCACCCGTGTGCAATGCAAACACACCTGCACAAAAAATGCATGCGTAAATAATGCCTATGGTATTTAAAAATAGTTGCCATGCGTAGGCTGTACTTAAAACATAATGGATACGAGAGCGATTGCCCATTTCTGGCAATCTGAACGCTTTGTACGAAATTTTATGCATCCAGAGTTTATTCTGAACAGATAAAAATTGAATTTCGACTGCCTAAAGATCGGATAACAAGCATGTGCTTTGGTGCACGATGCTACAGACATCGAGCTGGGACTGGGGAAATGCTGAACAGCTCAAATTAGTTAGCACTACGGCTCTAACAATTTGTATTTGCCCCTGGGGTCCCTGCTATTAAAGCCCGATGTCCTTTCAAATGGGCTTACTGTTCGCTTTGCGCATAAGAGAGAGCGCATAACCGTGAATTTTTTTGGTGAGGCTAGTCTTTTTGAATTTCACCGTAAATTTTGCAAAACTTTTCTCCCGCAGATCTAGACAACTATCAAAAGCTCTTTTCAAACATTGCTGAGCGGTTGATTAGCTCACCCACCCAATTAGCTGTCAACATTACATGCGCATTTATATGTTGTAAACTCAACAAATAAGCTTCCCACTTCCCTCTCTGTTGCTATTGTTAACATTTAACCCCATCAGTGTGTGGTCCTCAGACAGCACTAGCCCTCAGCGGCTCGGCTCTGAGCATTGCTCCGCTGCACAGCATACCTCGTTCCATATGGGTGGTCATGTTGCTTCATTCCCACGCTGACCAATATTGTCGTCACGTCCTACAGCAGACCCCCTGTTTTCAGACACCTGCGCGCGCAGCCGCCGTCCGAGCGGTCGCTGCGACACCGGTTCATCCGACACTCGCTGTACGCGTGGGGCGTGCCGCTGGTGATGACCGGCCTGCTGGCGTTCTTCAACTACGCGCCCACCTCGGTCATCCCTGACGGCACTATCGTGCGGCCCGGTATCGGCGAGGGGCGTTGCTTCTTCGCCAGTGAGTACTGGTCTCAGCGCATGCTGCCAACAGACATCAGATACCAGTGCACCTGGCTCAGCTCGGACGAGGTGTCTGTGCTACGTCTTTTCTCGAGACGTTGTTCTCGAGATGGTGCCTTCCAAGGATTTAATGATCAGGGCCCAGTCCAGTCCGATCCGGCTAGGATACATCTGATCCCCGCCAATTCGCCTTTCCGATCTTATTGCAAACTCCATCCCGATCTGGGCTGGATTACCGAAAAAATGGTGGCAGAATGTGTGTAAGCCTTCTGCTACATCTTAGTGTTCTAAACATCAGAAGGAATATTTCACATTTGTACGGGGTTTTGGGCTCAAAGACTATCTTGAAGATCATTCGATGCAGTTAACAGCCTTGCCCATCTTAAGACCTAAGCCCTCTAGTTTCTGAACTACACGCCCACGAAGACGTCCGGGCTCTTTCGTGAATACTGTTTCAAATTTACCCAAACATCCATGACGTCATAATAACGTCATTGGAATCCTACCATTCCACTGACCATGCGGCGATCAATGCCAATACAAATAGGTTCTCAAGTCGTTCATATTTGGCGCTTGTGACTACGATCTCCAGATATAACGGCCGTCAACTGGTTTTCAATCACTGTTGTGCAAAGTGCGATGAGGCAATCAAACAAAGGCGCATACCTATTAAGTGGAGAAAATGTTGCTTAGAGCAATATTAGCCACTTTAAGTATACCAACAGTAAAGTGAGCTTATTTCATCATATCTGATGCCTGCTGCAATATCTTCAAATAGATGGAACATTCCCTTTCACAGCAAAGGTGGTGCATATGAGAGCTTTTAGGTTTTCTTATTCACATAGATAAGACAGTAGCAATAGCCTCATTCCTCGGAGAAAATCAAGAGAATGGAGATATAGTTGGGTTGATATTTCGGCAAAATGCCTCTATCAAAACAATAGCAGAATTGAATTCAAAATCAGCTCTATGGTCCTACTCGATTTTTTCAGTTTTTTTTTCTAAAGCAAGCCACAGCTTTTACAGGACACCATCATCCAGGGAATTGAACAAAGAGCGATTGCCATCCATTACCACGACACAGTGTCTATCTAAGAATTAGAATACGCTAACATATGTGTACATGCAAACGAATTCAAGCAAATAGGTATCACGCATCACGGTTCATTGAGACATGCAAGCGAGTTGAAGTTAATAGGCACCATACGTCGCGCATCAGTTATACATGCAAGCGATTTGAATTAAACTGGCATAGCGCATTACGTGTCAAGCATGACTTATATATGTAAACGATTTTAAGCCAACACACATCACACATAAAGGCGCATATCACTTTCGCATAATCGGCTATAATGAGCCCTGTATGTGAAATAGACAGGAAAATAAGTGAATGTATTCTTATAAAAAGTTGGCGACCAAATCTTAGCACGTGGGGCTACGTGGAGCTTGTTGCTTGTTCTGCGATGTCACTTTCGAAGGTACGCCGATGCGATCCATCGGATAATTTACCCTACGACATTGTGCCAGACAGACTGCAAATATTTTTGTTGCGAAGACTGGTGAAACTTTGCAAAAATGTAAGCTATGCAAGTGGACATGCACATGATCTTTCTAGCTCCACTTTTTGTCCGCGACGCCATCAACCAGTTGTTTGTTGAGACGAAAGAGCCCACCAGCCCCTGACCGGGAGAGGTTGTGTGCCCTGTAGTGTTCTTTTCACGGAGCGCCTCTCCCGGGAAAAGGGGCCTCCTTACTGTTTAATGCAGAAGATCGAAATTACTTCAAAATGTGTTGGCACGAACAAACTATTTTTGTCCCAAAATTTACATCCTTTCTCAGAATCAACATATGAAACAAATTATTCGAAAATGTATGAACTTGCAGAGTCGCAATCCTTGGCAGCGAGAACTCGTATTCGCGCGGTTACAGCATTTATCAAACCGAACGGTGCTGGCCGCTCCAATCAAACGCAGGCGGCGGGCGCCGGGAGCGGATGAAAAAAATCTGTCGTGAAATAATGCTTCTGAAGTTGTTTTTAAAATCCATCCATAGCTTCAAATTAACTGGGGCGGCAACATTAATTCAAGGCAAAATTAAGGCAAAATTGAACAAGATTAACAAAATTAAACAAAATAAAATTTCACTTGTATCATCAGTTGGAAGCTATCCTCCGACAGACTTATGGCTGCAGCAACAGGAGAAACAGATTCCACCATTACGCCACGAGTTCGCAGTGGCGAACAGCGAACAATTAGCAGCAGCTGTAAATGCTAATCCGTTCCGATTATAGGACCAAAAATCGCCCCAGGTAAAATAGACAGTCCGGAAGGGTTTTTAATCGTTCAAATGAAATGCTGACGCGATCAGAGGCGCTTGCTCGGATGCATGATCATTTCATTTACCCTTCTGGCCTCCACCACGGGGTCGATGATGCTTAGCTTATGGAAACTGAGCGCCGGGCATTGGGGCCATTTGTTTCTGAAGCTGATGAGCGCATGTTTTCAAAAGTATGCCACCTAATTTTTAATATTCAGTTCTTTACGAAGGAACAAAATCCCCAGAAAAACATGGGTTAGCCAGCCAATATAAATTTGGACCTTATTTCGGTATAAATCCCACGTTTAATTGACGGGCCCCTCAATACCTCTGTGGACCCCAGCAGATTCCGGTAAAGTTCCTGAGCGCTATCGGTTTAGAAAGAGTACGCTGAACTATCGGTAAATGAATGGCACCGGTTTTCTCGATGCATTTATTAACCTCTTGCTTTTCATTTGGTTGACACAGTGAGATCAAGATGCAAACATAATAGCATCTTCCAGTGACTTCTGGCTTCTGTTTTACTAAAAGCAAGCAAAACAAGAAGAAAATCGCATAGCCTTCGAGACCAAGTGAGCCAAATCTGATTTGTTTTGCGAGGGGGATGCTCTCAGCAGAGGACCTTTGTCTACCCCGTTTCTTCTTCCTGTTACTAAGTGTTCCTGGTGTGAACCAATTTACCAATTCCAGCTGTTGGTCAGAAAATCTTTTTGCGGAGTATTGGAATGAGTTTGACGAACACTTTGCATTACATGACATAACACGGATATCTTTTGTCAAGCTGAAGTTCCCATCCGTGTTGATGACATCAATTCATCATGAAAACGGATATTCATTAGTTGTTTACAATGGATTGATGCAATGAAGTTTTTTTAATACGCTCAAGTTCTTAAATTTTTTTGGACCGTTTTTGTTGGCATTCAACACTGGCAAAGAAATAACTGAATTCAGGCAATTTCTTTTACATCCACTAGCTTAGACCACGTCTATCGAACTAAGAATATGTCTATCATACGATACAAGACAGATGCCCTATAGCTTTTTGTTCTTCAGTCAATCAGCGTTGTGGATCGGTTGAGGGCATTGGAGCTGGTCACGCCATTTTTGTTGACAAGAATGCAGTGTGGAGCAAGGCGGACTTTAAGGATTATTTAATTCAACATAAAATATAACTTTTCAACAGTTTTGAAAGTTCTTGCACCATAATCCTATCTGAAAACGGCAATTAGTACAATTTTATTGGTTTTCAGTCCACGCAACCCATGTGAAACTGTTTTTTTTTTTTGGTTCGTTTTGACCAGTTTTAAGGACTTCGGCCGAACATTCTTATTGGATGAATTCAGTATGATGCGCTTGTACTCTTTGTCCTCATCTCACCATCAGATCACAATATATTTTCTATGTTTCTTGATATATCTCGCTCATCTCAGAACGCTGTATATGTCAGAGCATCAGCTAGCAATTTTGAATGCTCGGGAACTCCAACGCCTGGTGTTGGCAGGCAATTAAATGGCTCACAGAGAAACAACTAGAACAATTCCTATATCACAAAGTGTGGCCATTTCTCTCTTCCACGCCGACAGTGCGTGGTGGTACGATGGCGTGCCTTGCATCCGCCACAGCGCAGACGCCGTTTCCGTCTACGTCGATGACGGTGCAGGCACTACCAAGCCGTTCCTCGTGCGGAAAGCGAGACACCCACTATCAGCCGGGCTTCCTGTAGGACTTCTGCATTTTGTTGCTACGTGGCATTCATCGGCGCATCTGCGAACCGGGCCTAGTTTTAGCATAACCGCAATATGCTATCAGTTCACCAGAACTCAGGCTGTGACCTTTTATCAGCCTGCTGGGGACTAAAATGTCGCACTTGCAACGTCCAGGGTCGAGTCGTGGGCCTTGCGGGAGGCGGCGAGAAGAGCACCACGGCTGTCAGCGATGCGACCGGACCTCGGGCTGGTTCTGGGTCCCTGTGGACCATACAGGCCGTCCAGTGTCCCCAAGCCCGGGCGGAGCACGACTGATCGGCTGAACAAGCTGGTGCCAGCATAAGCGCATCGTCTGCGGGTGCAGAACGTAGGCGCGCCTCCGTCGGCTGTAGCCTGAGGCGCGCCTCCGTCGGCTGTAGCTGTGAGGCGCGCCTCCGTCGGCTGTAGCCTGAGGCGCTCCTCCGTCGGCCGTAGCCTGAGGCGCGCCTCCGTCGGCCGGTAGCCTGAGGCGCGCCTCCGTCGGCTGTAGCCTGAGGCGCGCCTCCGTCGGCTGTAGCCTGAGGCGCGCCTCCGTCGGCTGTAGCCTGAGGCGCGCCTCCGTCGGCTGTAGCCTGAGGCGCGCCTCCGTCGGCTGTAGCCGGAGCGCCATTGCTCAGCGACGCTGACGTCAGAGCAGAGCTGCGCGGTGGTGCCGGGTGAGATGGCGCATGTTTAGTCAGTTTGTTGATGACAGGGTTCCGGCCTTGCCTAGAGCTTGCCCTGCATCTCAGTTTCGCCAGCCACATGCCACAGTTTCTTCGTATGTGCGACATTGAGATGCCTAGCAACAGCACTCCGAATAGCCATGGTACTGGTAGGAAGCAGCGCAACTTGGTTGACGTCAACAAGCCAAATAAACAGAACACTAAAGAGAAACGTAAATACACCAAGGGCGTTTTTGGGAGCATTGGAAAATAACAGTGAACAGCTAAATCACAAGACATAGTAAACCTAAAAAAGACAAATATTCATTTCCTTAACTAAACTAATATTGTTGAAAAAACGTAAGTCTGGAAGATAATCGATGCTTTTGTGTTATGGACGCATATGGTGATGCATGCAGATACAGAATGTTCCATAGATACATACTGATATTCTATCAATACCTGCATGAATACTTTGCTTGATACGTTCGACGCATCATGTTTGCAAAATTTGTATGCTTCAGACCATGCAAACATAGGGTATGTGTCGAAAAATGTGCCTATTTGACTCTTTTTCTGAGGTCTAAGGTCAGCATACATACCTAAGTGCGCACCCATCCCGCTGCTACCGCTGACGTTTTTGGAACAATCCCCCCTTAATTAAAAAAAGGAGCAATGCCCGGTTATGCAGAGAATCTCACGTGCGAATCGATGACTCTTAACTGAAACTGAACTGGATGTAAAGGTGGAGATGTCGCCTTGAACAAATGAGGGCGTGATTGATGTGTTGATGCATTATCTGCGAAGTGATCATGTGTGCTGTTCGGTCCAACAGATGCATGGTCAACCACTATCGCCCCGACATGAATATTCTGTTTTCAGATCACAAAGCGGGGCTGCTCTACTTCTACATAACGATCTTCATTTTCACGGGGGTCAACGTCGTCTTCTTTCTCGCCACCGCTTGGAAGCTGTACAAAGCTGACCAAGACTCACGAATTCTTCAGCGGAAGCGCACCGCTCGAGACAGGTAGGAAGATTGATCTCTCGCACATCACGATGACAGGCAGGCAGACCGATCTCTCCACACGCCACGATGACAGGTAGGCAGACCGATCTCCCCGCACGCCAGGATGGCATGAAAGGTAGACACCTCATTCGTCAACGTCGGGTGAGTGCTATCACGAAGCTGTGTTTATAATCTATATAATTATATTTTAATTGTCGCCCGTGTGTCGCAACGAACGTTACAAATTTATAAATAACCTACTTTATAATTTTCGTACGTCCTTTCGTCAGTCATGCACAGATACGCTCAAAGCTCGGTGCCAAGGCCACACGAGCCGTTTCGTGCGGCACAGACAGCGGAATTCCATCACTGTGATACACTTAGGACATTGCGGACGGAGGCGTGTGGCCGTACACGGTAGAGCACTCCACGGATTGCATCAATCGGCAGATGGCGGGCGGAATCAAGGCTCGGGTGGGACTGAACCTGGACCGGATCACAACATTTAGACAATACGGGGACTGGGACCGAGTCAGATTTTACAACTTGCCAGGCCATGGCAGACTGAGTGGAAAAATCAATTCATTTTCAAGAGACGCTAACTGAATTTGAAGCATCCAGTGTCATGAGTGGTGAGTGGGAGAGGTTGACAAGATTTGCGGGCACTCGGTGTCATCACAAGGAATATGCATCTATTTCTAATCCAATGATGATTATTCTTTAACACAACGTCCGTTGCTGTGGCCGTAAATTCATAAGCGGGCGCCAGTGCTTTTAGATTTATTTATAGGCGTGCGTAAACTAAAGACGTTGCTTAAAACCAGTTTCTAGCTTTTAAGTGCAATTTTGTCATTGACCTCGCTCAATGCTTGTCATTCGTGAGTATTTCCCCATCTTAAAGCGTCGAGTACTGCCATTACAACCAATTGCTAGCGCTTATAACGTCGTTTTAACCAGCACCTCCTGGAACAATAAAGGGTCGATAGCTCAGCGTAGAGCACTGAACGTACACCGCTAAGATCATCAGCGGTATAGTATAGTTGAGAATGTACGGTGCATTCTTGTGCAGTTGTATTATTCCGAGACTTCCAGTCTGTTTTAGTTGGGATCAGGGCCCATTAGACCAGCAATGGTCATTTCCAGGCTGTGGGATTAAGAAGAGTGAATAGCAGTCTGGCAAGTCTGCATGCATCTGGGAGTCCTCCACTACCGAGAGAGGGGTCCCGCACGGGGACCCCTCTCCGGCAATGTGCGGGATCTCCGCGTCGAAACTTGGACAACTGATGAGAAAGAAATGTGTTCAGGCTGCTGATTTGAGGAGGCAGTGTGCTGCGAGTGAATATTACCAAGCCAAGTTTGTATGCCTCACATCCGTTGCATTTTGGGGCAAATATCATACGTTTATTCAGATAATCCACTACATGATGAAAACTAAGTATGCACTCAAATTTTCTGGTGGAAACACATGCAGATATGGCAAATTGGGCGCACGGACGGGTGCCAAGTTGGGTGCTAGGACGAGTGTCAAACTGAGTGCCAGAACAGGGGCCAGAGTCTTTTCCAGGGACAGGTGCCAAATTGGGTGCTAGGATGGATGCAGAATTGGGTGTCAGGATGGGTGCAGAATTGGGTGTCGGGGTGGGTGCCAAATTGCGCGTCAATCGGGGTGACAGGACGGATGCAAAATTTGGTGCGTGGACGAGTGCCAAATAGGGTGCTAGGACGGATGTCAAAGTGGGTGCTATGGCATGTGCCAAATTGGGTGCCAGGATGGATGCCAAAGCGGGTGGCAGGACGGATGTCAAAATGGGTGCCTGGGGCGGTGCTAAATTGGGTGCCAGAACGTAAGATCCAGCGTTGCTGACATGTTCGTGATGTTCGGGCAACGTTCGTAGTGCCTGATTGTCGTGGCAAGTAATTTTCTAATCTGATACTCGCTGTGGGTAATTGCAAACCTTACGGCTGATCCGTCCATGTTTCATCGAGTCCTTAGCGTACAACCGCGTACCTAGTGTCTGAACATTTGGAGCTCGGATGATCTATAATTTGTCATCACTTTTTGTGACAGTATCTGGACAGATTTTGGACATTTCTGAATTTACCTGCCATGGTTTTCAAGTGCAATTATGTCCTATCCTTCTCAACCCCTGCCCCCGCGAGCCTAAGCCCAACGTGAAACATCGATTGCTGTCAATATGATCATGTTGCGCGATAATCCCAATTGACCAGTACTTCCTGACATATTAAAGGTCGATAACACAGCATTAAAACTCTGGGCATATATGCTGAAAAAACGCGAGTTAAAGACCGCCTTTCTTAGATGTTAGCAGTTATGAATGCCTTTTAGCTTCTACGTGAACATGAGTCTTAAACTTTAGGCTTTCGTGCTTTTGTACATGTCCTTACCAATCCAGTGAGGGCTTTTGACTCAGGACGACACAACGCGCTTTCAAACTTAAAAAGGGGGGAAAATGGCAGCTCTTGGTGACAGGTAGTGGTCGACCGGCACGATAAGCATAGCAGGATTAAGGGGCGGTATCGTTGGGTCTTTGGATCTCATTGAACGCCGCAGGCTAGCCGCCCAGCCAGTCGAGTCAGCCATCAACGCTCCAAAATAAAGGCAGGGGCCTTCGGCGCTCACGGAGGTCATGGTCCAATGCCCCGCCCCGACCCCAAGTTCGCCCCTGCATGGGCCAGCTCCTCTCTGGTCGGGTGGTCTGGCACCTCGCGCACCCTCATCGTTGGGCTGATCTCCAGCCGTGCGCACCCTCATCGCCGGGCCGATCCCCAGCCGTGCGCACCCGCATCGTCGGGCTGATCCCCAGCCGTGCGCACCCGCATCGTCGGGCTGATCCCCAGCCGTGCGCACCCGCATTGTCGGGCTGATCCCCAGCCGTGCGCACCCGCATTGTCGGGCTGATCCCCAGCCGTGCTGCCTATCTTAAGACATCCATGCATGCGACTACTATATTATCGACATGTTACTTTAAAAAAAAAACGATGCGTGCCGTATATCATCAATGCGTATCAGGATTAATCTCAGTTCAGTTCAAATATTTGCGTGCTCTGTCCATCTTGCCCTAAATAACGTAACTCGATCAGAGTCAGACCGCGATAGCCGCGGGCGCACTGGAGGAACGCCGGCGACTCTTCAAGGGGTCCCTGGGAGCAGTGAACCGCCGGCTTCTAGCGCCCAGCGTGCCCCCGCACTACACGAATAATGCAGAGGGAAGGCGACCTGTTCTGTTATTCCACCAACTCGTAATATATCATGAGGTGACCATGAAGACATTTCAGGTGGAAGCGGCAAACACTGCTTAACATGCAGCTTATGTAAGAAAGCTGGTCTTGGTCAGCTATATGGTGTTGGTGCAGTATGTGGTACTTATCGGATATAGTCCTGTCTCTGGTCCGGTACTGGGTGTTGTTCCAGGCATCCCCCCACCCCCTTACCGGTGGTTCGGTATAAAGTGACGTTTAGCTCATTTGTTCAGCTAACCAAATAAGCTTAACAGTGTCGTGGAGCTAAATTACTGCTCTTGGTGTTGTACACGCTGACTTAGAGTCACAGCCCCGCTTGTGACCTGACCTAAGGTGCTGTACAGGTGTAGCCCAGCCCATTGTATGGTATGCGGTCCGGTCGAGTCGCTGCCCGGTGTTCAGTCCGGCATATATTACCCCGATGCACGCTTTTTTTGTCCGGTGTGCGACAACATCGTGTCAGTCGAGCCGCAGTCCCTTCCGGTCCAGCGCGCGGTACCGTTAAGTCACAGCCTCGCTACAGGCCCAGTGTACGGTGCCATCGAGTCACAGCCCTGTTATTAGTCTGGTGCACGGTACCGGGGAGTCACAGCCCTGCTTTTGGTCCGGTGTATGGTACCATGGAGTCACAGTCCTGATATTGGTCTGGTGTATGGTACCATGGAGTCACAGCCCTGCTATTGGTCCGGTGTATGGTACCATGGAGTCACAGTCCTGATATTGGTCTGGTGTGCGGTACCGGGGAGTCACAGCCCTGCTATTGGTCCGTTGTATGGTACCATGGAGCCACGGTCCTGATATTGGTCTGGTGTGCGGTACCGGGGAGTCACAGCCCTGCTATTGGTCCGGTTGTATGGTACCATGGAGTCACAGTCCTGATATTGGTCTGGTGTGCGGTACCAAGGAGTCACAGTCCTGACATTGGCCCGGTGTGCGGTACCGGGGGAGTCACAGTCCTGCTGTTGGTCCGGTGTATGGTACCATGGAGTCACAGTCCTGCTGTTGGTCCGGTGTATGGTACCATGGAGTCACAGTCCTGACATTGGCCCGGTGTGCGGTACCATGGAGTCACAGTCCTGCTGTTGTGTCCGGTGTATGGTACCATGGAGTCACAGCCCTGCTATTGGTCCGGTGTGCGGTACCATGGAGTCACAGTCCTGCTATTGGTCCGGTGTATGGTACCGTGGAGTCACAGTCCTGAATTGGCCCGGTGTGCGGTACCATGGAGTCCACAGCCTGCTATTGGTCCGGTGTGCGGTACCATGGAGTCACAGTCCTGCTGTTGGTCCGGTTGTATGGTACCATGGAGTCACAGTCCTGACATTGGCCCGGTGTGCGGGTACCATGGAGTCACAGTCCTGCTGTTGGTCCGGTGTATGGTACCATGGAGTCACAGCCCTGCTATTGGTCCGGTGTGCGGTACCATGGAGTCACAGTCCTGCTGTTGGTCCGGTGTATGGTACCGTGGAGTCACAGTCCTGACATTGGCCCGGTGTGCGGTACCATGGAGTCACAGCCCTGCTATTGGTCCGGTGTGCGGTACCGGGGAGTCACAGTCCTGCTATTGGTCCGGTGTATGGTACCGTGGAGTCACAGTCCTGCTATTGGTCCGGTGTGCGGTACCATGGAGTCACAGTCCTGCTATTGGTCTGGTGTGCGGTACCATGGAGTCACAGTCCTGCTGTTGGTCCGGTGTATGGTACCGTGGAGTCACAGTCCTGCCTTCGGCGCGGCATACGATGCCGCCGGGTCGCTCGCCAAGCCCGGGCAGACGCAGTGATTAGTTTGATTAGTTTGAGGCGAGTCCGCGGAACTGCCGCTGGCTTGTCGGCGCCGGACAACTGCGCCGGAGTTGACATACTCAACACTGAGTCGCTATCTCTGACCTTGAACTGAGTCATCCAAACATTTGGCAGGGTCCATAAACAAACATGAACTAGGCATACGCCTTACAACTGGTAAGCAGCGACGGAGGGTAGCCCATTATTGATTTTGCGCTTCAGAACCGCTTTCGAAATACGGAAACGTAGTTATTCAAGGTATTTAAGACGGTCTCTGTTTGGAGACTTTTCGAATGTTGCCTAGCATTAGAGGAAGTGTTACGGAGCATTTCCGAGTCAGAGAAATGCCGGATTGGGCTGAGGAAACCGTGGCCGTCGTACCAAAGGCATGTCTTTTTTGCATTAAACGAGCACTGACGCCTGAAATTTATATTTTTCACAATACAAATGTTCACGCACACGCTTGTATAAATATATCCCTGTAAGATGACCTTACCCTTTACGTGTAATCCACACTAATTAGCGTTCGGTGGTGTGTCGTGTTTGTGTAACACTGCCCAGTGACATTAAGTTTCAATCTTCAAGAACTTGACACCGTCATCTAGTTTCATTGTTGAGTCAATAGTCCACAAAGTTGGTCATAAACTAGCAGAAGAGTTGGACGACTCAGGCCGTCAAAATGTGCTCTTAGAGAGCGAGCCTGTAGCCTGACCACTGAAGATCGATCCCGTTCGAAGCAGTATCAGCCTTCGAAACGCAAATGTCCGGTGCTCATTCGAATACCTTTATGGAAGTGCAACGGTGTATCGTCATAAGTAGCATGCGGACATATGCGGACATGTGCCCTTCGCACTAACAAGTGGTCATTTTATGATCAGTGAAGACCCTTGATATCATACTTAAGCAACAGCTTTCAACCCATTCAGGACCAACAACCAGACAACAATCGTCTGACTGGGAAGAATGGGGCCGGTGTTGGAGCACACGAAATTCTGGCTACACAGAATGTATGTTCCGCCTATGGAGTAGAGAGGGTCAGATCATCCTGCTGTAAAAAAATGACCTATGTTTGCTTACACCTCATCCTTTAAATCTACTGACCTAAGCAATCTGACTGTTCGGATATGTGAGAGGCAACCTCCGTACACTGAGTGAGACCAGCGCCGGTAAAACAGCGTCAGAACAAACCTGCTTCCCCGCCCTGCTGTGCTCGGCAAGGTCCGGCGCGTGCTGCGTGTGGAGACAAAGTGTTGCCCCACGGTTATTATACAACTTGAGCGACCGCATGGCCAATAAAAGTATAGCGAAAAAAAGAACACCAGATTTTGACTGCACCCCATCGTTTGTCTTCTGGAACAGAAGACCCGATGTAATCGCGGTGTGGCGCGGGCAGAGCCGCATCAGTGACAAACTGGACCGCTCTTTCCACGGCTCATGTTTGTGCGGTGTATCCTTCAGGTTTGCATAGATACTATGAGCCACCATGGCGGGCGGGAGATAGTGAAGGTTCCAATGTGGTCTCGGTCGTTTAGACGGCCAGGTCAGTGTAGGATCGGGCATCTTGCTGATATTGCGCAAACGAATTGTGCAAGTGCACTCTTTCTGATGGTGTCGCTGAAATTCCGGCCTGTTGAGACCGTTTCCGCCAGCATTTCTCGTATGCCTAACCCTGACGTCGTCAGACAATGTGGCAAGTTGTAACGCCTCGGAGTAGCTTCAAAGGAAATGACCATTATTTAAATATAATGAAGCATCAGATGTGATAAAATAAACTCACATATAACTACTCGCATACTTTTAAGTGGAAAAGGCTGCTCCAGATAACATCATTTCTCTTTTTAGTGGATGTGCTCCGCAATACGGCATTGCTTGATTGTGTCAGCGTGCCTTGCACAACATTGATTGAGAGCCGACTGACGGCCGTTATATCTTGAAGTCGTGCTTACGAACGCCAGATGTGAACGGCTTGACAACCATCTTTGTATTGGCCTTGATCGCCGCATGGCCAGCGACGTTGATGATCGTGGACGTGCGCTGTTTGATATCCAGTATTAATCTGGTGCCAACGTCATTCAGTTCAACTCATCGCACCTGCCTGGGAAAAGCATTTGAAATTGATTCATTCAAATTCGGCCAAGAATGGCATCAAAGACATTCTGAGTCAGACGATTTCTGGGGTATGGCAAAGCTGAATATTGTTTTACATCTGTTGAAATTTATGACCTGCTGTCCTTATTCATATGGTGCATTTTCTTTTATGAGGATTTTTCTCTTCGCATATTGGTACCTGTTTGTACGGCTGTGCTTGTACTTTTCCCAACAGTGTTTTTAGTTAAGTTGCAGCAGGGGTCCTGTGAGAGGCGAGCACATTCTGGAATCTTTCCTTGTGATCTCGTTTCCGTCCAAAGCGGTACAGCTGAAGACAGAACGCAAACTGACTGTATCATTCTTCGATACTGTTTCTTGTTCTGGAATCTTCATCTCCAAACTTGGGAGCAATTTGTTATCCTCTGACGAAAACGTTGGTCACGTGCCGGAGACTGGGGTAGACACCCACGTGATGCGTACACAAAGATTGCAGTGCCGGATACTGGAAGTAACAAAGGCGGGTCTGTGGGAAAATAGTACAAGTATTATGAAAGGTCCAATTTGAATGTTGTTGTTTCAGACGTGTTCTTGCAAGAAGGTGGTCATGAGGTCACAGCAGTGCACGAATTTTGCATGGGTGGATGGTTGAAGTGGCAGATCTGGTGTCAGACACATGAATGTGGGAAACAACGGCAGCTGTTAAGATGCGTGCGCATTTGACAGTGTTGCGAAAAGTGTCCTTATCCCCACCTTCTGTGCATAACCTGCATCTGTCACGTGATTTGTGTGTCAGAGACACCAGTTTGTCTGATCCCGCATACCGTATATGTACCGTTGCCAAGTTTGTGGTGGCATTAAACCCCTCTGAGAATGTGAGGCTGCTAATACAACTCTGCGCTTGGCACCTGGTGGACGCTGTAGTGACTACTGAATTACACTTCCTTAGCAAAGGTAACAAAAACACACCGAAATATAAGAATTACTGTTTCAGGCTGAGGGTGTACGTCAACCTGTTCATCATCATGGAGGTCAGCTGGATAGCTGAGTGCCTGTCTGAACTGATACCTCCGAAGCAAATCTGGTAAGGTTTCTACCGATACATAAGCATGCGTGCTTTCCTTTCCTTTAATTTTGTTCACTTGCTTACTAACACCCAGTCTTAAAAAGTGTGCACCAGAATATGCATTCCATGTAAAAAAACTACCAGTGTTTGTATTTCATGTCGGGATAATCGCAAGCAGTTCCAGGGGAGGGGGGGGACGTCCATTTCCTCGGGCAATGTGAAAACGACATGAAAACATGTGGGCAAGTTTGAGCTGAAGCTTAGGAAATTATTTGCAATGAAGTCATCGTAAGGCCTGCTTCAGAAACATCAATAATGAAAGGGTTAATGTGACAGGCTACCCAGGTGTAATTAGGTTTTCCACTGATTCAAACATATGTGTTGATAAAGCCCGCATATCGCACTACAGGCGCATTACGGACTGTTGTGCCTCTTCAGACATGAAATTGGAAACAACTCCGCATCCAGGGTGTGGAGTTGGAATGAAATCTAACTCATAGGGTATGGATTGGAAATCGATTTAATGGTCGTGGATGGGATAAATTTGCGTGTCTGATCTTCACTCCGTATTGCTTGCTCTTGTCCCTGTCTTCCTTTCTCTCATATTATGTCTTCTTCAGACTCGCAGTCTCGAATAGCTGCGGCCTGCTCACTTTACCCTAACTGCCGTCACTCGATTGTAATGAATATTTCGCGCTTTGGCTTTTAATTCTTATACTCCTAATTAAAGTCAAGGTCCACCGTCGCATTTCGCAGGGCACTGTAATTTTACTGCAGCTGTTTCTGAGCTGTGCGATCAACAAGATGTGTAAGGCGCTTCGCGAGAACTCAGCTTACGGAATCGAAGAAGATCCCCGCATTTGTCCGCCGCTAGCTTGCCAAACGATCTAAATCACATCACATTATGCCAGCTAATGCGCGGAGCAAGGAATTTTTCACTTTAAATTCCCCGTAGACATGGTGGGTGGGTACGCGACATCCAAAGAGCAAATGTGAACCGTCATTTATGTTATTTATCGGATTATTCATGATTATAATTAATTGGCTGTCAGTGAGGTGCATTTTGCTACGGGGAATTTCGATGCGTTCGCCTCATGCCGCACTGCCCTGTGGTTTTGTAGCTCCCATTGCGCGTTTTATCAAGTTTTGCGTATTACTAATCACGTCGCTATCTACACTAGGTGTTTCCTTTTCACCCTCAAGGTACTTCACGGACATCCTCAACGCCTCCCAGGGAATTGTGATCTTCTTTCTGTTCATCGTTCGCTCCTCCTCACGCCGGGCAATCAAAGACAGATATTTGGAGCTCACCAAGCGCGGCTTCAATCCATCTGCTGGCCTTATCCATCCACCAGGAAAGGACGAGCGAGTACGCGGGTTTGCCATGGTATGTATGCACAGAAACAGCGCGTATGTGAAAACGTGTTCTTGTCACATCTGGACTGTTTCAGCCGTGCAACTAATATGCCAAAGTAAATTGCGGTTGTCTACGGTGCACGATCATGACTATACCACCGTGAAGGCGTGTGCTCTCGTGGTCGTCATCTCCGACGGCAAGTGAGCCTCTGGCGCTATCGACAGGCCGCGGTCTCACCGACCCCATGTATCGTCTGAACCTTCTTCCTGGCCGACAGAAGCCGCCCTCCTCCCGGACCAAGACAACTGGGGCCAGCAGCTCCGGAACCAATGGGAATGCCCAGTCAAGCAACATACACATGACCGATGTCCAGCAAGGTGACAACATCGAAACGGCGGAGTCGAACGGTGACGGCGGCAAGGCGACGCCATGCAACCCCGACAAGAGCACCCACGACAATCCGTGCTAAGTGCGCTGTCCGTCGCCCGTCCGATGAGCAAACGGCATGTGTGGGCCGACGGGCCGCTGGAGGAGAGACTGTGGACGCACAGCGTCATCACTGGGCACGCAGGGCACGTCCCGTCGATCGTGCCACACCGCTGAACTGAAGACCGTGCTCCTGTTAAATCGCTGTTGAACTCGTGTGTTCTGACTCGCTCTGCGCTTGTTTGCGTCGCTTGTGAAGTATGCTGGCACGAACTCTGGCTGGGACGGCGCGCCCGTCGATGCCCGGTGCCGGTGCGCAGCGCTGCCCGGGACGCGGGCTCTCGTGGCGTGTGCCTATCTACCCACGCAACGGTCGGTGGCGTGCTACGCTGCGAGGATTTTGTGCCGAGGCAGGCGGCGGTGCTCCGCTGTGTGGTGGCCTGTTTATGGGCTGTTTTACACTGGCATCAGCGCTAGCTGAGTAACGAATTTGTCTGCGTACCTGATGGGTTCTAAGCTGCCTGCTCTATCATGCCACCAGTTGTTGTTTTGGAAAAATTCCTTCCAATGACAGCGTCCTTAGTGAAATTAATTTTACACTAGTGCTCTTTTGCCAACTCAAAATCTGCACGAAGCTTAAATATGGTGAGCTAGCTTACCGTCGTCCCTACTGGACACCTGTGGTTGTCTTGCTGATATCATCTGACTGTGCACACCATATGATCACGCAACATGCAACACTTGATGTGAATTTCAGTTCAAAACTCGTCAATAACATAACCAAGAGGCTTTGGGGACCATGACTCCATCTGGGGGTGGAGGGACTGAAGTTAAAAGTGGTGGGGCTGTGATTGCTCAAAACGGCAGTAAAGGTATTGTGAATTAACCAAATGGGCCCTCAAAGCATCTGTATGGACCCCCAAACCTAATTATGTTCCTAGTCCCAAAGAAGGACCCCTTTGACAGCGAAGTAGGGTCTGTTTTGCTGATGGGGCTCGCTATGCTCGCTTGGCCATTCCTGGGCGAAATGAAACCGAAGCTCGTCATTAAGCCAAGCGTTCCCTTCAAATACGTTGCGGTAGATTTATGACGAAAGTCCGAGGGGCATGAAACACGCAAAGCTGCTACAGGTTTTGATTGCATTGGTGCTCGCTGTGCTCCGGTCGAGGTCCCCAACGCTATGATAATCGTTAAGATTGATTAATGTGATTTGCTGCAGGAATTAACACGTGCATGCATGTATGCATGATTGCATGCATGGCCTGCCTGAGCACTTCTATCCTTGTGCTTTTTGTGCGTTGAATGTCCAGATCATCGAGAGAATGTGTTATTGCCAACTGCATACATTCCAGCTACTGCTGTGCACTTTGTCATGTCACAGGGGTACTATCGATTTTCCCTTGTTCTGTACGACATGGAGTTGCGTATTGCACCTGCGCTGGTGTGTCAGAGTGAGCTTCGACAGACTTGACACGTGATGTTGAAGTCACTGTCACGGAAACCGTCACGTTTGCCGTATCTACGGAGCTCACGCCTCGTGACAGCATGCTCTTTGGGGCGTCGAGAAAGTTAAGTCATAGGCGCCTTTGCATTATGTTGCCGTTGTGCCAATCGATACTAGCGCTGTCATTGCTCTCCTGAAAATATAAGTGAAACGATCCACGGGCCATGTTAAATTAGCCGTTTGCACACCGCATTGACCATGCGTAGGCCGCATGGTTGTGGAATTGCGAACCTGATTGCCTAATTGGTTAAAGGGAGCGTCTGAGCTTTGGGGCGCAATTCAAAAAATATTTTCTAGTGAAACCTCAGGCCTGTTTACGTCTGGTAGTAGTATTGGGAGCGTATGGACCATGCACCACTACGGTGCCGTCAAGAAAAACAGAATATCAATTTAAATTATTTTTGTGTCTGAATTGCTCTGTCAAGGCTTTGTAACAGGAATACGTTTCTTCCCTGCAGTTGCGAACGCCGTCATCATGGCCGCCACCGTGCGCACCTCTACTGGTGTGAACAAAAGGGCGTTTGTGATTGGCCCAGGGTGGCATATATGATTGACACTTAAGTGTGTTGCAAACATTACCAGGGGTGGATCCAAATGATGGAGGGGAGGACACGGGGCAATGCCCCCTTGGGCCCCGAAGGGGCCCATTGGCTCCGAAGAGGCCCACAGCTTGTCGAACAGGTGCAGTTTTTTTAACACGAAACGCAGCAAAATTGGTCTTTGTCTTTGGACTTCCAGGCAACCAAGAACAGTCGCAAACGAAAGTAAAAGGCCCACGAGTGGACAAAGACAAACCTAAATGATTTAAAAACTGTTCTTGGCGAATTTAGGCTTTATTATGCTGTCCAGCAGGCCTATGCCGTTTCGGGGGGAGGGGGGGGGGGGGGGGTATGTGCTCACTTGCATGTCATTCTGATTTTTAAGCAGCCTTCCACTTTGCCCTTGATTTTTAGTACTCGCTCGCGGGTACCTACGCTCCTGCCGGGAGCCATCTGATAGCCTGCTCGGGCACACTCGATCCTTCGCGGGCCCTCCACACTGGTTCTTCGGTACTTGAATAGGGGACCCTACGCTCTTGTTGGGGGCCTATTTGAAAACCTGCTCGGGCATATTCGATCGCTCGGGAGCCTTCCACATTGTGTCTCGGGTGCTTCCTTTTGAATAGAGGGTCTTACGCGCTTGCCACGGGGCCCCTCTGTTCACCTCCTCACCGACACTGGATTGTTCGGGGGCCCTGCATATTGGGTCTTGGTGTTTGAATTTGAGGCCTTACTGGGTCTACTACTTTGGGTCCTATCGGGGCCAACTGGTAACCTGCTCGGGTACACTTCAACTTTCGGGGCTCTCTGCACTGGGTTTTGAGTACTTCTTATTTGAATAGAGGGCCTTGTACTTTTGTCGGGGTCCCTTCTGATAAGCTGCTCGGACACATTGGATCATTGGGGGACCTCTACATCGGGTCTTGGGTACCTCATATTTGAATGGAGCGCCCTACGCTCTTGACGGGGGCCCTGTCTGTTAACCGGCACTGGCGCACTCGATAATTCGGGGGGGCCTCTACATTGTGTCGTGGGTATTTCATACTTGAACGGGAGGCCCTACTCTCTGTCGAAAGCCCCATCCTGTTCGGGCACATTCAATTGTTCGGGGGCCCCACATTGTGTCTTGGATGCTTCCTATTTGAATGGAGGACCTTAAGCGCTTGTCGGGCCCCCTCCGTTCGCCTCCTCGGTTACACTGGATTGTCCAGGGGACTGTACATTGGCCCTTGGTGTTTGAATTTAGGGCCCTACGCTCCTGTCGGGGTCCATCTGACAATCCTCGGGTGAACTTCATCTTTCGGGGGTCCTCCGCACTGAGTTTTGAGTACCCCGTGCTTGAATGAAGGGCCTTACGCTCTTGTCGAGCCCTTTCTGATAATCTGCTTCTACACATGACATCGTTCGGGGACCATTTGCATTGTGTTTTGGGTACTTCTTGTTTGAATGGAGAGCCCTACGCTCTTCACGGGCCTTCCTGTTAATCTGCACTTGCGCACTCGACCACTCCGGGGGCCTCCATGTTGTTTTGAATGCTTCTTACTTGAATGGATGGCCCTATGTTTTTGGCGGGTCCCATCTATAAGCTGCTTGGGTCGTTGGCGGATACAGAGAGGGGAGGGGGGGGGGGCACCGGACCATGCCCCATGGACAATGCAGAGGGGACCCATAGGCTTCGAAGTGGCCGATAAGCGGCTGAACAGACACAGTTTTCTAATAAAAAAACACAATAAAATTGGATGTGCTTGGGCCTACAGGCGACATACAACGATCGCAAACGTAAGTAAACAACTTAAAATATTTGCTGATTTGAAGGGTGGTGATTGAGGGAAACTGTGCGGTACGTTATGCCTTCCAGAGGCCTTACGCCGTTGTCTGGGCCATATATGGCCACTTACCTGGCCAGTCTGATTGCCGAGGAGCATTCCACGTTACCCTTGATCTCTTAGCACTTTTTCATTTACCGCACATGATCCCAACGCTGCTGTTGAGACACTATCTGCTTTCACGCCTGGGCACTCTTGATCAATCAGGAGCCCTCCACGAATTATTCCCATTCACCCGAAAGGCTCTATATGGTTTTTCCGGGGCTCCATATGTCAGGATACACTCAGCTGCTCAGCAGCATATTAGTCTTGGGTTCTTTCCGCTTGCTCGGAGGGACTTGTGCTGTTGCTGGGGCCCATGTACGGTAAGGCATCGAGACACTCGATGCTCAGGGCCCCTCTTCCTTGATCGAGGGCTCTCTCCCTTTGATCACATTTGCGGATGACTCTTTACTCCTATCGGGTCCTTTTTGTTAACCTGCAGGGGCACTTTTGATCGCCAGGGGGTATCAATTCATGGTCTTTCATGGTTCCCTTTGCTCAGAGGGTCCTGTGCTCCGGTCGGGGCTTTATATGTCAGCCTACCGAGGCACTACCAATGGTTTAGGGGCCCACCACGCTGGTCTCGGGTTCTTTCCACTTGTCCTGAGGACCCATTACTTGTTGAAAGGAGCCTCTTTGTTGACCTCGCAGGGCACCCAGGATCGGTCAGGTTTCGTCCCTATTAGCCTTGGTGCCTTAGCCTCAGAGCAGCAGTCGCGCATGTGCCGATGACTTTCTGCGCGCAACTGTCGAAGGTAGTTTTACGTGACTCCGACGTCGCAAGTGTCATTTCCCTTGGCGATTGAGTGTGACACTTATCAAACTCGTGCATCACATTCTAAGCATATTTTGAGTGCTAGAATATTTCGTGCTCCTTTATAATAAATATAAAATTATAAAATAGTTATCAGTCACCAGCTAATTACATCAACCAGCCACCTAGCCGTAAATAAGCCAGGAATCGAGTCCGTGGTTGCTTTTGATCGGACGTAGCAGCCGATTTGAGTTCATTTTACTTGTTTTTCCGAAACACTTGGCCTCTAAATCACAGGAATTAACGTGATCTGGAGAGAATGAATGAGCTCCATGTATCATGCCTAGCTTTAACACAGACAGATGGGTTCCATATTTACTATATATATATATATATATATATATATATATATATATATATATATTCATACACATATATATGTGTGTATTTATATATGTATAGATATATATGTATACGCTATTTACTGCTTATCTTCAAATTCAATGACCGGAATGCGAGGGTATTTTTTTGGAGGGGACTCCAAACTCTAGAGGGCCCCACAACATTGCGTGCCCCCCTTGACGAAATCCTAGATCCGCCCTTGAACATAACAAAGTATACACATTTGAAAAACTAGGCAAATTAAATGTAGTACTTTCATAGTGGTGAGCAGGGAGTCAAATGGGATTTCTTCCGAATGACCGGCTACTTCAAATATAAATTCTAAGCTTTTCGGGAGCATTTCGAAAAAGCTGGTATGACTGATGAAATCGTACGTGCGTCTGATGTAGCAATCAGCGGAAGTACAAAAAAGGTGGGATACCCCTTAGAGTGCGAATATGATTGCTAGATAATTAAGTGCGAGCCTAATTACCCGTGGTCATGGGCGAGGCGACAGCTTGGGCGAGTCAAACGAGAACTATGATAACGTTTTCCTCTTGAGAGGCTCTGTCCGAGCCAACTCTCTCTACAAGTC